CACACACACACACACACACACACAACTCTCTGAGGGTGGAGTCAAGATAAGAGTCTGATCTATGCCATTTTTCTCCTCTATGTGTGTCCTGCATGAAATTCAACATGGGGACAAGGTGCAGAGGGAAGGCAGACCCAGGCCAAGCAAAACAGTGCTGTGTCTAAACCTAGACCAGCGCTGACTGATCACGAGAGTCACTTACTGTCCACGTGGAGTTGCACATGCGCTACTTCAGCTTTCAGATCTGTACTCAGGGTGCGTAGGGTGTAGAATCCAGCACCATTCCGAGTGACGTTCTGAAGCAGGAGGGATCCATTGCTATACATTGTCTCTCTACCGCTGTGAGCAGGGCCCGGCACACTTGAATTCTTGCCTACTACATATCTCGCAACCTCGTGATTCTTGAACACAATTGCCCCTTTGTACCAGAAAATAGATCGAAGATTCTCTGGAAGGTTGTGAACGAGGAGAAGAACGCTTTCTCCTTTAGCAACGCTGGGTGGCACTGATTCGATACTGAGCTGAGCAGAGGTGGGAGGGCGTCCACAGGTCAAACTGGAGACTAGGAGGAAGAGAGAGATCCATCAATATTAGGACTTTTATAATTGGCTAGGTTGGCATCCTGTGTCCTGAGCAGCTGTGTCCATTGCTCAGCTGAGGTGTGTGGGTGAGGGTCTCCCTGCCCTACTTGGTGGAGGTCAGCACATGACCTCCATTCACTCTGTGTCCCTCTCTTGCCATTTCCTCTCTATGGTGCTCTCTCTTTGGGTACCAACATGACTCTGCCTCAAAGCCCTCAGATCCCTGCTCACACTCAGTGTAGATGGGTGTTGGAGTGCTGCCAGCCTGAGCACGTGGGAGGAGGTGACCTGAGTCTTGGAAGGACTACTCTGGGCTCTGTCATTCCATGAAGGGTTTCAAATGGTGTGCACACTTCCTCTGCCTGCTGAGCTATGTGGTGGGTCTGCCCGTGTACTCCCTGGCCTCTCTGAGATGCCTTGAACCTCTGTCTATATGATTTTCATAGGACAACCTATCATCCCCAGAGAACATACATGTCTGGAGTGTGAACATGATCCCCTGACAGGGTAGTATATACAGGAAACAGCTAAAACATCTGAGGAGACTGTGCCAGTGACCTCCAGGTCTATGGGAACAGAGATAAAAGCCAGGATACAACGTGGGTTTCTGGTACAGGAAATACTTTCCTAGGTATTGATTGTATTTCCTGGTGCTGCCCCCTCCTAGTCCCTTACAGAAACTTCAGCTCATTTCTGAGGAACTATGGGTCTATGTTCCACCTTGCAGCTGGGGTGTGTGAAGTGGGAGGCATTAGGTTACAAACACAGCCTAAGCTGAGGGCTCCAGCCTGAGTGAGAAGCTGGGGCCAAAGCTGGGCTTCTCAAACTCCTGGTCACCCAGACATCTCTGGGAACCTCGAGAAATCGGGACTGGTCCAAGAGCCTCAGATGAGCCCAGTGCAGCCTGAGGGGGTGGGGGGGCTCTGGGTTAGCTCAGGGGTGAGTGTCCCTGTCTGGAGGGCAGAGGGGCCTTTTATGGCTCCCCCCACACGGAGGTTCTTGATGAGAGAGACAGCCCTTACTTGTCCAAACTGTTTATTGGTAGTGGAAAACAGATACATATGGCTTACTCAGGGTGGAAGCTTATTGGCTAAACCCTTGGGGCTGGCCCATCTACATACCTCAATAGCATAGAGAACTCTGTGCTCTGTGCTACATGACTACTTGCTACGATCCTCATGTGAGGTGTCATGGTCACGTGCTCCAGGACAGGAACCAGGTCTGGAGTAAATCAAACACCTACAGTTCTCAGATATGAGAATGTACCAGGGTTTCTGAATCCACTTAACCTTCTTGTTTTTTGTCTGGTGACTTGAATCCACTTGCCCCACAGAGAACTATCCACATCAGCAGAGCCTGTGGTCAACTGCATGCACAAGAGAAATCCCTAGACTGTCCCCAGAAGACAAAACCCTCTCCTTAGGGATCCTGGCCTTCCTGGAAGTCTCATAAGCCCATTAGCTGAGTTAGAACAGGTGCCATTAGCTGGGCACCTGTTCTTCTATGCTCTCACTGTTGAGTCACTAGGGATGTCCAGGAGGCCTACCCAAACCAGAGCTCTCATTACAGTGCACTGTCTGGTTACACATAGTAAAGACTTTCACTACTCAGAAGTACTGGTCTCTGCTGACAGAAAGGCAAAATCCAACCCTAGTAAAAATGATTCTCAGGAGCGTCAGGAGATGAGTCTGGAACAGAAATCTCGGAATCAGGGCTTCCTGGTATTCATTTCCATAAGGAGCACATGGCTTCCTCAACTAGGCATAACCTTCCTTCCTCCAGGACTTTTCAAGGACAGTCTCCTGCTAAGAACCCCGATAGTCTAGACAGAGGCTGATGTCCTTGACTGACTTGCCCACCATGCATCCAGGTTTCTCCAAGGTGAAGTCAAATGAAGGTTTCTTTGCAATTGACATTATTCCCCACCAGGTGAGTCCTGTGCCAAATGCTCAAGCGCCAGCATGGAGACACAACACAGACCAGGCCTGACACTGCTATGTGTCTACTGGAAGGACCCCACCCAGAACCCAGAGTTCTCAAAGAATTACTTACAGTACACTTTAAGGTGTATTGTTGTGTTTGATACAATTTCTCCACGTTTACTTATGGTTCGTAGGGTGTAGAATCCTGTGTCCTTCTGGGTGACATTGTGGATCCACAGGGACCCGTTGCTGTACAATGTCTCTCTACCACTGTGCACGGGCCCCGTCACAATTACACTGTACTTCAGTGAATACAGTGCAATTCCGAGACTCATATTTGTCACCCCTCTGTACCAGACAAAGGCTAGAAGATTCTCTGGCAGATTGTCAACACGTAGAAGAACATTTTCTCCTTCAACCACTTGGGGCGGTAAGGATTCGATGGTGACTTGGGCAGTGGTGGGCAGGAGCCAGCAGGTTAAGAGGGAGGCTGGAAGGGAAGAGAGACAAGCCACCAATCGTGAGCAGGTATGAGCATCCCTCAGCTTATGCCTGTGAGTAGGAGCACGCCCTTAATGGAGGTGGGCAACATGACCTCCATGCCCTCGGAGGCTCAGAGGGTGTCATTCCCTCTCTGTGGAATTCTCTACTCAGGTGTCCCCATATCACTCTTCATATAAAGGGTGTCTGGTGTGAGGAGAAGCAGCTTTCTGACCTCCTCCTCTTCTTCCTCCTCCTTTTCCTCTTCCTCTTCCTCTTCCTCCTCCTTCTCCTCTTCTTCTTCCTCCTCCTCCACACAATCCTCACTTTCTTAATTGTTTTCTGTTCTCTGTGGTTCCATTAAACCATACCTTTGACTTTCTTCTCTAGATACTCTGACTTCCAATCCACTTTTTTTTTAAAAAAAAGGAAGAAAGAAAGAAAGAAAGAAAGAAAGAAAGAAAGAAGGAAGGAAGGAAGGAAGGAAGGAAGGAAGGAAAGAAAGAAAAAAGGCTTTTTGAGGACAGGAATTGGTGTAGTCTTTTTGGAAGGTTCAGTTCCTGAAAAAAAAAATCTGAGAAACCAGTAGGGAAAACAAGAAGGAAGGAAGAGAGGGAGAGAGGGATGGTGGGAGGGAGGAAGGAAGGAAGGAAAGAAAGAAGGAGACAGAGAGAGAGAGAGAGAGAGAGAGAGAGAGAGAGAGAGAGAGATCACCATGAATTTATCTACATAGTTTCCAGGTTTGTAACAAATGACAGTCATTATATTCAAGTGTGATTTATATTTCTGTATTGTATGTGTGGGTTTGGGAAGAAATGTGTCTCAGTGTACACATTGTGGGCGCATAACACACACCTGTGTGGAGGGCACAGAAGACCCTGCAGGAGTCTGTATTTCCATCCAACCTAAGAGAGCAGAAGAATGAATTCAGACTGTCCTGTCTCCACACACTGAGCCATCCCAATGGACCGCCCATGTTTGATTTCTATTTGGGGAGTCACCCTGTCATGAATGGGAGCATTGGGCTTCTGATCATGGCAGTAAATGTGACTGACTTTGAACAGAGACAACCGAGGCTTTTCTCTTCCCTCACCAGCTCCTGCCTGCTTATAGATTCCTGCCACTCGGCCTCTGTCCCTCACTGCACCTCCTGCACCATGACTGCAAACAGAATGCATACATCTTCCCTAAGGAGTCTGTCCCTTTCAGAAGACTCTGGACCTCCTCCATCCCACACACAATCATGGAGTCAGCACTCTTACCTGTGAGCAGGAGGCTCTGCCAAGGGGTACACCCCTTGCAGGGAAGCACAGTGGACGCCTCCATGTCTCTTCTACCTGTGATGGCCTCACTCTGAGAAGAGCTTCAGCTCCTGCAAGGCAACTGGCCTCTGCTGTCCTTTCTCCGTCTGGCTGAGTTTCTCTCAGGCAGGAGCACTTCCCAGAATCCAATAGGCTATGGATGGTGAGTCTGTCTCCAAGGTACTGCTCCGTCCCTTCCACTGTAAGTGCTATCCTGCATCCCTCCAACTTTTCTCTTTTTATGTTCCTCCTCCAAGCAACACCTTGAGGAGCTGTGCTGATAAGCATCCCCGTGCCCTCAGAGAACAACGGCTCATCCCAAGGCTGACGTCTGCTGAGTCCTGACCTTTGGGTCTGTCAGCACCAAAGTGAGAGACTCCATCCTGCCTATGTGTCCCTGTGACACAGAGAACCAGCTGCCCTGAGTCCTCCGTGCTCTGGGAAGGTGGGATTTCCCACCAAGAGGGTGAGAGAGATGTCTGTGAGGGCTGAAAGGGACCAGTTGAGTGATACCTAGGGATGAAGATCAATCCTTTATCACTATGGTCACCAGTCAAGTTCCTGACCCAGGAGAGAGGCCTGGGGGCAATTTTGTGAGGATATTCATGTCCTGGGGGTTGGGGAGTGACCTATGTGTCCTAGAAAGGACCATAGAGCTCCTCTTCCTACAGAGGATTTCAAGGTACCCTTCCAGCATTATGTGTTGGCTGAGCTGTCATTGGGTGAGCCCAGGTTCCCTCTGGTCTCCTTGGGTCCCCTATGCTCTTTGTCTGGGTGATTCCCCTGTAGATGTACACTGTTCCACTATGGGAGATGCCAGGAAGGAGGGGACTTTCAGGTTCCCCAGACAAAAGGGTATCCTCAGACACAAGAAACAGAGCATGGACTAGTGATGGAGCTCCAGGTTAGGAGGTACAGGGATAGAAACCAATCTCCTAGGCAAGGTCACGGCTCAGGGAAACAATTGTCTGAGTGTTGAGTGTGTGTCCTGATATCACTCCCTGGAGATCACCAGGAGAACTGCAATCTCATGTCTAGGGCAACGTTAACAGGTCAAATGCGACCTTCCCTGATCCTTTCAGTGCAGGTAGGATGCAGGGCCTATCATCCTACCTAGTGTGCTCTGCAGAACTCCTGTTTCCATCTAGTGTTGAGTGGCTCTGGACAGGGTTCCAGATTCTCTCTATGAAGTCCTGGACCGAAGTAGGATGAAGTGTGCATCCAGAGGATGGGTTCCCATGGGAGGAGCCTTGTGCTCACAAAATTTCAAAGGAAAGTCCTGGTACATTTTTCTTCGGACCTAAAGGAAATGACAGTAATGAAAGGGAGTGCACCCATACTCACTGGCTCATGTCTGGAGGCTCATTCCTTCCTTCTCTTGGCCCACTGGGTACTAAGGGTCTGCTATTGAGGAGAGGAAACAGAACAGTGATTCAAACAGATGTGCCAACTGCTCTTCCCTGTACATGTTCTAGGTCTCTTTCCCTCACTGTGATTAAAAAAAAAAAAAAAAGACCTGAACAGAAGCAGTTCAGGAGAGCAGAGCATGCATTTCCTGTCCAGATCTGGGCCATAGGGTAGCCCTGAAGGAAGTCAAGGCATAAAACATGCTGCTTGCTGGCTCATTTGATGCCTCATTCTCTGGTTCATGCTTAGCTGGCTCTCTTATACAACCAAGGACCATCTGCCTAGGGATGGTGCTGCCCACAGTGGCCTGGGCATTCTGCATCAGTTAAGATCGCTCACAGACATGTCCACAGGCAGGGCTGATGAGGAAGTTATTCAATGTAGACTTTTCCCCCAGGTAACTCTGGACTGTGTCAAGGTGACAGCTAATGATAACTAGGACACTGTATCAAACTGTCAAGTCCTCCTCCTCCAAACTCCACAGGAAGTTCCCCATTCTCCAAGTGAGTGTCCCTCTCTGTTCCCTGAAGATAACACATGTGCTGGTGTCCACAGCTCCTCACAGCTGGACCCTCAGATCCATGACACAGCTCAGGGACATCTACCTTGAGTTTCACTTTAGATACTGACCCCAGAAACAATCTGATGTCTGACATGAAGAGTTAGTGAAACAGCAAATTCAACACATTAGTTCCATCCTGACACTGGAAAGGCCTTCCAAGGCACCTTCATCCCCTGCTGCTTCTGGCTCCACTGGAATCAGAGCAGAAGCCAATCACCAGCTGAGACAAGATGGGAACTGCTCAGAGCTTTGGGGAAAAGGAACATGAGCAAGGTTCCAAGTTCTGGGTGATCCTTCTGGGTCATGGAGATCATGAAAGCAAATGGAAGAGACAAGAAGGCATGAGTGGGTGACAGAAAGAAAAATCTACTTGACCTTAAATAAAACCCTCCCCCTAGGAAGCTCCTCTCACCTGAGAGATGAAAGATTCTCATTCTCCCAACAACCCCTCTCTCTCTCCAACACTATTTCAGGATCACCCAGGAGAAATCAGAGATGCAAGAAGAAATGGAAAAGACAGAGCTGAATCTCACGAAAGGATTAGGAATTGTCCGTGCCCATGGACTCCGGCTGGGAGTTAATGTCTGTATCTATCCATAAAGCCAAGGCTCCATCCCAGAGCTCAGTGATAACGTTTCAGTAAATATGACGTGAAAGTTTCTTTCTCTGTGTGTTCCTATCGAGGTCAGCAGTCAAGTTATGGACAAGGGAAATATAGGATCCATTAGTAGTAGTGATGACGCTGGGAATAAAGAGCTCTTAGGATCGTGACTGGGGCTTCCCGCTTATAGTCCAAGAGTAATGGTGGGTGAGGGGCTGCATGACAGGAGAGGTTGGGGTTTGAGGTTGGATGCAAATGAATGTCTTCGGGGATATCAGCAGGACATCTGAGCCATTGGAACAAACAGAATAAAGCTACATATGACCTCAGCAGAGGGAAGGGGAAAACCTGGTCTGGACAAGGCTATAGTATCTGTACTATAACCTCAGTTAAACAGGTCCTGACCCCAGCAACAATCTGATGTCTGATGTGAAGAAGCCAGAGATGGGGTGCAGATTAGTACAAGAATATTCATGTAGCATGCATGAGCCCTGACCCATCACCAGCATATACACGGAACAGCCCCACTAGACATTCATGTGTTCACTGAGCCTGAATCCAAGATGTCCCCTGTATCCCCATCACCATGAGCCTCTCTAGGTAGAAGTCCCTCCAGCCTATTCTAGCTCAATGCTGGGCCTGACTGCATGTGCTTGAGCTAGGCCAGGATGCCCTGGCCAGCCTAGATATCCACACAGGGTCTTTCATGAATCTAGGAGCAACCATGTGTCCTGGCTCTGTCCCTCTGTGTTTAGATAGTTATAGCAAGGATGCAACAGAAATTACTCATAGTGGATGTTCAGGTTAAATGGGTCACCTTAGATGATACTCACTGGGTTCCAGGTTTCACATTCCTAGGGTCCTGTGTCAGTTGTGATATGAATATATGAGAGTCCCATTGTCCTTGGACAACTTCAGCCTGTCACCTGCTGAGAGACCGTGACCATGTATCCACCACAAATAAGTTGTATTATGAGTCTCAGGTTCATGCTTTAAGGCTACCAACCTCACCCTCTATAGGGTTAGAATTGTCTCTTGTGATGGTTTCCTTAGGTAGCAGTGCTATGCGGATAACAGAAATAAATTGACTCCCTGTGGGACCTCTGATCCTTGTAAAGGCCTCTTTCAACCACAGCTGGTCTCTGTAACCTCTATCGCAATCCATGTCCTTGGAGAACCAGACAGAGGGGGACTCGAGCAGATGAAGGAGGAGCTGAGTGCTCAGACATGGTGGGTCTCCTGTGTCGTGTGAGAGAAACAGTCTTTGTCACGTGGGAGCTGGGCTGCAGAGCTTGATGGTACAGACCTAGGACCTGGAGTCACATCCCAGTGTCTCTCCTGGTCCTCAGTGACCCACCGCCTGCCTTGCACCATGGAGCTGTATCCCTCCAGGTGCACTGACCTCCACTGCTGAGCCTGGGCCAGCGGCCTCCATGGCAATGCTGCCTAAACGTGTCCTCCAGATCAGACATAAGAAGACCGTACACTGAACTTCTCTTAGAAACATCTACAACCTGTCCTCGAGGCTTGATGCGTGTTCAGAAATCTCACATGAGACAATGAAAAGGTCTGGTATTCAGCTCACCTTTCCCAGGGGAATCTTCCCAGGGGTTTGATGGTGACTGCCATGAGGCACAGGACCACAAAAGACAAAGGATGAACCTCAGAAGAATGGAGGGTATAAAAGACACACAAGCAGGCTTGAAACAGAACCATAACTCTTTTTCTTGCCCTTTCCTCCAGAGCTTAGGATCATGCAGATATATATCCTGATCCACAGGTTGCTGTTTGCTTTGCTTTAATATTTCATGTATATGGTTATTTTGGCTGTGTGTGTATATGTGCACCACAAACAAGCCTGGTGTTCACATAAGCTAAAAGGGGGCATTGGATCCCCTGAAACTGGAGTTTCAGATGATTATGAGCTGCCGTGCATGTGCTAGGAATTGAACTTGGCTACTCTACAAGAGCATTCAGTGCTCATAACCACTGAGCCATCTCTCCAACATTTCCAGTGGATGTTTTCAGAAGCAGATCTGACTGGCAAAAAAAAATGGAGTGCAGGAACTGGCTAGAACTCAGGCTAGAAGTAAAGGTATGTTGGGCAGATCTAAGGATTTGGGATGCTAACATTCACCATGAGACCCCTGTTACTAATACGCAGGATCCAAGGCCAATCCCTGCAAGGATTATTTCTCTAAAGAGTAAAATGAGATGAGAGACAGATGCTAAAGTTGTTTGAAATCAGTGACTCCCTGAGCAGAGAGAGTCCTGTGTTTCATGAAAGACCTACTGAAGTACGGGGGACTAAGCAAAACCCCATCCTTCACCTTCCAAGAGGAGTGACTGTGTCACATCAGAAACACATGATTTCCTGTCTAGTACGTGGGCTGACAGACCTAGAGTCCCTCAGAAATTCTCCAGAGGCAGGTGGCTTAGGTCTAGAATCAGATCTAACTGTTCATTT